AACAGAAAACTTGGATTGCACTCTTCCTATTTCTAATAGTGACTGGATAAAAGCAATAGTGGTAAATAATAAAGTCAATAATATGTTTGACCACTTTTTAATGCCACTGTTGTTGTAACAGAAATACACACTTCAAAGAAAACTAAAGTGCTAATGATCACTAAGAAGGTCATTTATAGGAGGGTAAATTGGTTCAATTAGAATTTATTAGAATGTTACTATAGGAATACAGAAAGATGTTAAAGGGTTAACGTGTGAGAGATTACATTGTAGTCAGTGTTCTGTTAAAGTTTGAATTAATTTTTCCCATGGGTTTTTCACATTCTAATTTTCAACTAAATGAGACATCTGTTTCAGAAAAGGAAAATTTGCTATGGTTGTCATAGCAACTATCATTCTGTAAGAAAATTATTCCAATGGTTACTTTAGAACAGAAAGAAAGAAATTCAGTGCATAAAGCAGCATCCAATTCCTAGCACAAATTCTGATAATTCAGCCTTTTTTGGCTGTAAGATTATTTGGCATGTCAAACTTGTTCATGTATTTTTAACATAAGGTTAATTGTTCTGTAAACAAATTCACTTGCAGTATATTTTTCTCCCTAGAGCCTTAAATGTAGTCAATTGTTTTTCTATCATAATAATAATAATAGCATTGAATTTCAATTGGATTTGAGAGGCACACACTCTTCATTCCAAAAAGGCAACACCTAAGTCAAAATACATGGATAATCATAGACACTTAATGGCCTATGTATTTAATTTTCAGCTGCATCTTTTTTGCACCTTTTTGTTTTTTAGGATTAAGAGATTTTTCTCTCTAAACATAGCATTTATTTTACATTTTGTAATGTGAACTAATTTGTAAAGAGATTATACTTTGACTGAGCAAAGGGGTTCCAGAAGCTCAGTGCCAGGTGTTAAATCTGTAACTTTCCTTTCTAGTTCTGTGATGGATGGAAATAGTAGAAGTTGTTGTCTTTGCATGATTTCCAGGCCGCAGAATTGCTAGTATGTACTGGGGGGATGTTTTTCCTGTACAGAAAACTTTGATGGCTCTTTTGCAATAAAATTTCTCAAGAAGGAACTTGAAGATTTATAAAATTCCTTGGTGTTTGTAAAAATGTTTTTACTTTTGTGTGTGTTGGGCATTGAAGTGTATGATTTAAAAAATAATAATAATATACAAAAACTAGCATTATGCATTGAATCTGTTCTCCAGCTTTAGATTTTAACCAGAACCATTCCAGACATTTCTGTCATTCTTCAGATTGTCACAAAGAACCGCATAAGGGGAAATCATAAAAGTTCTAACATTTCCTGTTCACAAAAGAACAGCTCCAGCATGCATAACTCACCAAACCTTAACACAAGTGGGTATGCGCTGCAGTTACAAAGGGAGAGAGGGAAGGAGGAAAGTGTTCCTTGTCTTAATAAGCAGATCATGCCTATTCACAAAGTGAAACACATTTGCAAGTGTATGTATACATTGGTCCTAGTAGAGGCAAATATTGATTTCCCCCCCCCCCCAGCTGTAGGTGTGATTTATAACCTGTCAAGTTCTTTGACAGTCAAGGTTATTTCTTGTTTTATCTTGTATCTTTAAAATAACTATCATTTCTATATTGATTTTGATCTTTTTCTTTTTGACAAATGCTGATCTGTTTCACTTCTATTTGTTTCTCAAAGAACTGAGCAGCTGTGTTCCACTTTTCTGCCGGGTTTTAGGACCATGATCAAGGGAGAAGAGCTAGGGAACATAGGGAAAGAGGAGCTAATCTCATGCCCATTACAATCAGTGGAAAGAGTCCTATCGACTCCCAAAGGATTAGTTAGAGCCAAGAATAGAGTGGACGGAAATGTATCAATTTGCCACAAATTGAAAGCCAAACTGCAGTTTGTCACATTTGTACTTTTTTCATATTTGTATTGTGCCCATGTTTTTGCAAGTGAAAATTTACTTGTAAAAAACTGGTTTGGGCCTGTAACTGAATGAAGTGGTGACAAAATCAAATTTACCAGTCTTTTTAACATTTCATTTGCAGGGTTAAACAAAGGAGGGTGGCTACATTCACATTTTAGTCTTTGGACTTTTGTTTTTTTTAAAGCATCAGGCCAAACTTCTATAAACTGTCAGTGGCACTTATAATGACCTCCATTGTTGTAATATCTAAGCATCTCACAATCTTTCAGGTGTTTATCTTCACAGAGCCCTCTTGAGGTACAGAATTATTTTTATTCCCATTTTAATAGGTCATGAATCAAGGCACTGAAAAACTGATAGGATACTTTTTCACCTAGTGGATACCCAGTTGCAGCTTGCCACCAACTCAGTTACATGACTGAAGTGTAGAAGTGGTTCTCTTAACCCCTCCCCCCAGGGTGCATATAAGTACCAGCAATAGGATCATCCTCCAGCGACATACAGATATCTAATATTCTGATAATGGAGGCACTTGCATGTCCAGTGGACATAATAGAATTGCTTCTATACTTAGGGCAGGTAACTCTGTCACATGCTACACTTTGGTCATTTAGGATGTGAAATTAGAATTCTGCCGTAAGCACCAAGGACACATTGGAAGTCTGTGGAAGAGCAGAGGATTCGACTTGAGGCTCAAAGTAGGTGAGAATCCCCCCTCCCTTCCCTTCTGTGCTCAGAAAAATGTCCTTCCCTCACCTGTGCCTGCTGCCACTGCTTTCCCCACTGTCCAGGCAGTGGGGGAAGATTCAGAGACTCCTGACTGCTCCAGCTGGGATGTGCCAGGGCTGAACTCAGCTGGGAAAGCAGCAGCACCAGCAGTGCCTCCCTGTACCTGTTCTCAGAGGGGCAGACAGGGTGGGGAATCCCACGCCCCCACCCATGGCCATTGCCATTCTTACTGTACCAGTTGAGCCCAGCCTCCACACACCCTAGCTGGAGCAGGAAGGAGCAGTTCTGAATCTTCCCCTCCCTCTAGGACAGCAGGAAAACAGCAGTGATGAGCAAGGGAAAGGGAGGGGAGGGGACGTGACTAAGCATGGGGGGAAGGAAGATTCTTACCTGCTTTGGGGATTGCAAATTGTCCCCGGGAGCTCCTTCACCATGGTCTGCCCATAGGAGCAGATGGGGAGTGCAGGGCTGCTGCTTCTGCACCCTTCCCTCTGCTATATCTTGGATTCACCGGTGGTTGAGATAGACTTAGACAAGCTTTCAAATGCAATGAAGAAGAAGGCACTGCATTTGACAGCTTGTCTAAGCCTATCCCTAGCATGTAGTTGGTCCAATAAAAGACATCACCCACAACAATCTTTGCCTCTAGTAGTGGGAGGATAAGAAACCATAGGCCTCAAAGACGCATGGTACTTCTCATAGGGAGAGTTTGTGGTGAAATAGATTTCACCATAAAGTTCTGATTTGAAATTCACCATTTACCTTGGCAGGTTTTTTTTTTCACCTCAACTGGTTATCCAACTGATCCTTTTCCATGTCAGCAAGTCTCATAATGAGTCCCTGCTCTTGTTAACCTTAATCTTGCTCTCACCTTTACGCTTCCAAATGGGAATGGACTGAGCCAAAAGTGATTTATTCCCATTTCCAACACCAGCAGTAATAATCTCCATTTCGATTTCCATTCAGAAACCTGTAAGTGAGCCATGGGAACATGTTATGGATAACTTTGAGATGGGCTTATAGCCCTCTTCAGTCATTTAGATTTAGAGAAACTGGGTTTCTGTGGTCTCTGGAAGGAAGGAAAACAGTTCTAAGAAGCTCTTCCTGCCTGAGATACGGTTCTGAGACTAAAGTTTGCCTTCCCCTGCAAGTTAGCCTTTGCTTCTTAATTTCTTAATATGTAATGTGCTTTCAGTTTATTTTTAATATACACATCTAACAGCATTCGAAAAGCAAACATCAAAAATGCATCCTTACAAAGATTGCAGACATGTTAATTTCTAAAATGCTAGTCAAGCATCAGGAAGGGAAGGGGATAAATGAAAGCTTCACAGAAATAATGTTCTTTTGTCTTTACCATATATGATGCAAAGAGTAGTTCAGAGACTTTATTTAAAAGAAATCTCGCTTTTTTGATGCAGCCAGGGAGTGTAAAGCTTTCTTCAACAAAGTAACATCTCAAAGGGAACACTGGTTGATGTGTATGTATTTATAAACACTAAGGATGCAATTATCATAAACCTTATTAAATCACAGCAGCCCATTTACTGTTATCCATATATGGATATGGCCAGAATACCAGTCAATCCAACTCCCCCCACCTCCCAAATAAGATGAAACCTTGCCCCAAAAAACTGAAGCCAAACGTTCATTTTATAACTTAGAACATCACCATAATTTTCCACTGTGATATCACTACCATGAAATACAGCTTTTTACTCGATTGGATTGTAATATACAAATGAATTATATTCTTCTTGGCTGTGCTATAGTCCCACCATTCAACAATGTGCTGTTCCATAAATAACAAAAATGTTTAAGAATATCTAAAATCTCATCTCATAACAGATCTTGAATATGTAAAGTCTTATTTAAAAAGCAATTAGCATAATGGAGAACTGAATAAAATTGTACACATTTAATTTAATGCACATTTTTGCTCTGATGTGATGCTTCCAATATTAAACAATATAAAACAGGATCTGTACATGTGCTGGCCTATACCAGGTCAGGTCCGAGTGGGACTACAGCAGTAATATTTATGTACATGCATCTCGTTTCATGTACAGAAACGGTACTCAAGCTCCTGTAGTAGCAACCTGTCTATCTAATTAGAGGAATCCAGCAATTATTTCACTATATGCTGCCTATTTAAGCCAATAAGAAGCTTGTTGATTTTCCACACACATTAAATAATGATGACTGTGTGTAGAAATGGTTTCATTGTACATAGGGGAAAGAAACTTGTTTCTTCAAATTCCATAGTAGTAGAGAATCAATCTCCATTTTTAATTAAATAACCAATACATATGAGTAGCACTGAAGACATTCTCCTCCTCTTTTGGCAGGCAACCTTGGTTTTATGGCTGGGGCTTTAATCTTCCACGAGGCCAAGCACTATTAGAGAAATGGAACCTTATTCCAGATGGAATAGATATTCTTATAACACATGGACCACCTCTTGGTAAGAAAACATTAGCACTTTTACCTACATATTTCAGATAATGATACAGTAACTGTGTGCTATCCACAGATGTCAAATGCAAAACTGCCAGTGATTTCAGTGGGGCAGGGTTTCTCATTTCACTTTTTGCTATCACTATTACAGAAGCTGTGATATAGAATCCTAGGGTTGGAAGGGCCTTAAGGGGTCATCTAGTTCAGTGCTCTCTTTATAATTTATTAACTTGATTTCTACTCTTAATCTCACTGATTGCTGGATGTTTGTACTTCCACGTTATAGACCGACTCTTGCCTGCCACATCTTGATCTAATTTTTATTATCGGTCGGGCGGTGTTATCAACAATACGACTAGATTTGTATCTGTGTGACAACCTCTATTCTAGCTCCCTCAGGCAATGCCCAAGACTTAATCATCAACGGAATCCATTGTATATGGTTGATCAACTCTCTTTATTATTAACTTTTCTTTTTATTTATCATCTTTATTTGAAAGACCGATGAGCATCCGCAGCTCCCTTCTTCTCACAGTTTCTATTTCTGTACCTTTATTCATCCGAGTGATCAACACATCACCCTACTTCTTCAGGGACTCCAGACTCTCATCTGGACGTGTCCTCTCTCTTGGGCAGAACCATCTGCTGGGACTTTTCCGTCTTGGACTCCTTCTTTTGAACCCATGCTCTGTTCTCTCTCTCTTTGCATGCCGCTCCTTTTCTTCCATTCCCTAGACTTTATTTATAGCTAGTCCCTCTTCACAGCTATCCACAGATGTCAAAAGCAAAGCTGCCAGTGATTTCAGTGGGGCAGGGTTTCTCATTTCACTATTTGCAATCACTACGACAGAAGTTGTGATATAGAATCCTAGGGTTGGAAGGGCCTTAAGGGGTCATCTAGTTCAGTGCCCTGTACAAATGCAGGATACTCTGATCTTAACCATCCAAGACAGATGCTTCTTTAGGCTATTCCCAAAAACTTCCAATGAAGGAGATTCCTTAATGTCCCTTGGGAGGAGTAAAATAGTTTATCTTAATGTATGTGATAAAGAAACAATGACTGATTCACCTATGCCTCACTTCAGTTTCACACAAAGGTCAGTTGGAGGGATGAAATGATGAATTAGGCCCACTATGCCTTTGCAGTTAGAGGTCTGATTCTACATGTCTTGTGCATCCAAAGGTTTAACTGAAATAAATCAGCTCCTCATCTCCTTTCTAGGCTCTAAGTATTACTCCTCTTATTTTTTTCTTTTCTATTTTTTGGTTTATGGGTTTTGTTCCCCTCCACCATATATCCAGGGCTGAACACTTTCTCTTTCAACATGTGTCACCTCTTCCTCTTCACACACACACGGCTACAGTCATGCTATCCATTCTTTGGAGAGGTCTGGTGACTTACCTATCAGTGATACAGTACAATTGCCTGGACAGACCATCAAGAAACAGTCCCACTTTCTTTTTTTGCTTAAGTATAGAAATATGAATGACAGCAAACATACTGGAATATGGGTGTAGCTATTATAAGTCAGAATGATATGATTTTAGAATATTTGAAAAATTTTGAATGCCACATTTCCATCTGATGGACCATGAAGTAAATCCATGCTGTGTCAGTTCCACAGAATGTCCCTGTATCCAGTGCTTATCATTCAATTGTCAACATATATCTGAATATTTGCTGTCTTTCTTTTTTTTATCATCATCCATCCTCCAGAGATTTTAGAAATATTGCTAAATTTCTTTTTCTGTTTCCCCCCCCCATATTGATGTATATATAGACAGCTTATATTTAGTACTGAATACATTGCAACTTTTTACGATCTGGATTGTAATATTCATGTACTTGAAATGTTACCCACCCTATACAGATACTTTAAAAGACACCACAAAGGAAATGGGGTGTCTTCTTACTCTTTTGCCTGGCTTTGTGTGAGGCCATAGTGTAAGGGAAGAAAGAAGTGGGGAGATGTTTGGAACAAATTCACCTTTTGGGTCGTTTTTTCTTGCATGGTTGTCCAAATTCTACCATCCATTTTTCTCTTATACCCCCCACTTTGCTTCAGCCAAGCAAACAAGTCAGACTACTCCACTGGTGTTATATAATCAACCAAATTTAAAACTGCCAAAGTGGTCTAGGAGAACAAATCCCTTTTCATGGAATTTGTGCTCCCATCTCATGTGCTTCTGAAAAATCCTATGGTAAGAGTCATTCTTTTTCTTCATTATTTGTATTGTGAAAGGGCCAGCAGCTTCAGTCTAGGATTGGCTAGGCATTGTGCCAGCTCCTGCTGGTGGGAGGGGGGGAGGGGAGGTGAGTCCCACTGCCCTGTGCTGTGTGGGGAGGAGTCTCTGTCATGAGCCTTCAGAAGCCCTGTGGCCTCTGCAGTAGCTGGTGTGTGGGGGCCTT